AGACCCATTCCCCAATTATGTACTGTATATTTTCAGCCTTCCGGCTGCCATACTCTTTCAATAAACCGTTAATTATTATTATTATTATTATTACACACACACACACACACACGTAATTAATTTATTAATCATATCTACTATTAATTATTCAACGTCTGGTTTAATTCTGACAGAATACACGATAAAACTGACAATTTAATTACCCGTAAAATAAACCCAAAATTTTAATTGGGATTTACAGTACATGTTCATTACAGTGAGGATTACCAAGGGATTACCCCAAAACCATCATTACAAGATGGATTAATTACTGATTACAGAAATTGTTATCGGGATGATCATTAAGTTGTAAAACGTTGTTAGTTACCCTATTGAGTTGAACGCTAATGGCCATGACGTAAGAGAGCTCTAATAATGAGGTAGAGTTTACTTTGTGTTGTAGTTTTGAAATTTTAATATATTTTGAAGTTTATTTTTTGTGATGAATTACTTATAATTATATTTTCATTCATAGTTTATTTATTTTACAATATATTATAATTTAAAATTTAATATTAATTTTATCTTATTTACGATTTTAAGTTAATAAATTTAACACAGGCTTGGTTTTCACACACAGTCTATGTGAAATTATTTATATTACCAACTATATGTAGGAAACCTCAGTATCATATAAACTGCTGAATTTATGTTGTTTACAATATTAAATCAAAAGATAATATAAACTGCAAAAGTAAACAAAGTCTCCAATTAATAAGTTTATCTAATATTTCTTTAGTTAAAAAAATAGGTATTTATTTTGTTCTGCCCTTCTGATTTGGCTGAGTGCTGTTCTACCCACATGGCGTATGGCATCTATTTCTAACATTAATCATATAAATTTTTTGTACAGAGTATAGTCACTGTCGACAGCAAGCACAGGCATTGGTTTATTGACAAATGCTTTCATATAGATTCGCACAGTTAATTCGAAAGAGATAGAGTATTTTTGACGTTGTTCTCACTCCGCACTGAGATGAGACCCAAAGCAAAGTTTGATCTAAGTTATCGTACGTAAGAGTGTGATGTTACTTCCAGGTTAACATTATCTCTCTCTGGAGAATATAATGTTAAGTTATCGTGGGTACGAGTTTGTGTTGTTATACTTCATGTTCGTTCACGTTGACTGTTATCACGCTAGAGGGAATAATGTGACGCTAGATATATTAATTTAACTTGTGCTTGTATATATATATATATGCTGATAACCACAGTAGAGGAGAGTGAGATAAAGTTCCTAGGGGACAGAAGGTGTCCACAATTTTCCGGTCATAAGGCAGTGACCCTTACTAATCTTCTTAATAAAAAAAACAATGACCATGCCATCTCTAAGCACAGCAGTTGTCCGTAGTCAGGTCATTGGGTAAGATGAGCTAACCTTCTCACTCTCCTCTACTGTATATATTAGCCTTGTCAAGTATTTCTCCTTACTCTGTACTCACCCCTGAAGATGTGAATTACATGAAAGCGCTTGGGAACGTCGTGTTTTCTTGTTTCCTTGTGGTTATCAGCATATACTTGCATCACGCGCACCTACAGTGACTTGCTTGCATATATATATATATATATATATATATATATATATATATATATATATATATATATATATATATATATATATATATATATATATATATATATATATATATATACACATACACATCATATGAATATGCAACTGTACACCTTTGTCGGAGTATCCACACATGATTATATAAGCACATATAAAACACGCACTAGACTTAGCCACACAACACACACACACACACACACACACACACAGCAGCCCGCCTGCCGTCCGGTCCAATATATTTTTTGACTGCGCCCGTAACATATAACTCCTGGCAAACCAAATAAAGACCAAAGTTGGCTTTTCAAACTTCCTGTGACGAAGGGGAGTTGGTCCTAGTTGTGAAAGGTGCACGCATGAATCTTTCTAACCTTTCAGTTGTCGATAAAGAGAGAGAGAGAGACAGACAGACCTGTCTATACCTGCCTACCTTTGGTGTCAGGCAGCGGACAGTGATCTTGCTTGTTGGCGTGAAGTTTACGACTCACTGATTGCTGGGAGATGATTTTGTTTTTCTTAAGTCCATTGGCACAAAAGTTTCTGTTCGAAGGGGTTGATGGTTTAATTAAGGACTTCTCGTGTAACATTTTGTATAGTTTCCTGGCATGGAAGAAATTATCTATGTTATTAGCGGAAAGATTATATTTTCCAAAGACATCTGGAATAATATGTAATGGTAGAAGGACGATGGCATAAAGCCTTCGAGAGACCCTTGGTATAGTAGCAACATTCGAGGGGTTGTTGATTCATGAGGTACTAAGAGACCCTTTGTGTCGTCTTTAAGATAAAGGTGTAATTGGAAAGTCAAGTTTGTTCTTAAAAGACTTTCCATACACCTGACCGGTCATAATAGATGTTCAAAGTTAGCACATCTCTGAGTTTGGAATGTGTGTGTGTGTGTGTGTGTGTGTGTGTGTGTGTGTGTGTAAATAGGACGTTTATAGTGTACATAAACTCTCGTGCATTAGGGTTATATACATATATCCAAACAAAAGTGAATGAAAACGTCTTCTTTGATTACACACAACTGCTACTTTGCTGTCACTCAGAATCGAGTATGACGACCATCCAGCTATGATAAAATTATGAGTTATTAAGGATGTCACCTTCGTTGGTTAGCTCTGGGGTGATTAGAAAGATCAATACGGACCGGCAGGGTCGTTCACAGACGTTGCACATGGGGAGGGATACCTCTAGTGCGGGAGAGGCAGCGTCTTTCCGGCGTTGGCACTTGTTTGCCTCAGTTTGCAGTCAGACTAACTCGAAAGTATTGACACCTTCTCGTGTGGTGCTCCTCCAAGCGTTACGGCGTGGATTGATCGTCTCCCAGGTGAGGGGATCGATTTGGCTCTTTTTCAGGTCTGTCTTAAGACTAGCCTCATACCTTTTCAGTTGCCCGCCAGTATTACGTTTACTATTCGCTAAATGACTGCTAGTCTACTGTCGTCCATGCATATAACATGGCCAGTCCAACGTAGTTGTTCATGGCTAATGGTAGCCTCGATGCTCCTACAGCTGGTGCCAGCAAGAATACTCATTTGTTCTCTTGTCTTCTCAGCAAACTCAGAGGATGGAACGTAGACTACATTGGTGAAAGTTTTCAAATGCCGTGGCGTGCCTCCTGTATATGACCCATGTCTCGCTGCCATATAACACGGTGAGGAGGATCACTGCTCGATATATGTGCAACTTTGCAGATAATTTTAACTCCCTACAGCGGAAGCCACGGGTACGGAGTCTGCCAAAGGTTTGGGATGCACATCTGATCCGATGTTGAATATCTTCATCAATGTCAACAGTGAGGAACAAGTGGGAGCCGAGATACTGAAAGAAGGTAACATTCGAGAGGGTAGTACCGTTAAGCTGGATGGATGGTGGAGGTGAGGCTGAACCAGGGCCAGGCTGAAAGAGAATTTGAGTCTTACGTACATTCACCTCAAGGCTGAACTGTACTGCTCGCTTCAGGTGGCCAGAGAGCCGGCTACTTATGCCTTTACTCAGCATAGTATGACGCAGCTTCCCGTGGGCACACCTTATCACGTGCATTGAACATGTCACCTCATGGCCAGTGGAAAGTTATAGGGGATGAATCTGAATATAAATCGGATGTAAATAACCCATTTATATAATACTTCTGTTGATGAGACAGGGGCCATTACAAGAGTATACTGGAAAGACCTTGGATGTGTGTGAAGGAATTGGAGTTTCTCGATACTAATTCAGTACATTTAATCCCTTTATTCCGTTCATTTTACTCTGTGGGTACAAATAATAATTAGTCCAATTAATTAAGATATGTTAACCCTTTGAGTACGATTACTTACAGTAGCCTCTTAAGTACAGTGAAATAATTAATCTCTTGAGTCTTGAGTACGATGACCTATCCCCTTGAGTACTCACTCACTTATTATATTAACACTCATTAACTCAACACTCTGTTACTCACAACTCACCCATTGATTTACTCACTCATCCATTCAACACTCACTTACTCAACATTCACTCTTTCAACACTCACTCACTTAACATTCGCTTATTCACCAACCTACACTGTCGCAGGTCATGACCATTCTCAGTTACACCTGCACTGAAAGGTGTACTAAACGTTCATGCTTCTTGAAAAAATACAACTATTTAAAAAAAACATGAAGCTAGGAAAGGAGGGCAAGCAATCATACATCAAAGTCAATATAAGCAAGCGCCAGTTCACCTCCAACGGAAGCAAGCGGCAACACTCGACGTGGAGGAACAGAACTTTTGAACTTTTGAACATGAAGTGGCAGGGGAGTGTAAAATGGTGAGGTACGATTTATGTTTTGTTTAAATTTTGAGCAAACAGTGTTAGGAAAGAACTTTAGAATATGAAGAAAAAATGCTGGCAACGTTTAGCATTTTGAGGTTAGAACTTTTAAGCAGAAAAGGTAAACGAGTTGGAGGAAAGTTTTCGATGTGTTTTTTTTTTCTTGGAGAATGAGGTGATATAACCATTGAACACGTTGAAGCTGTACAAAAATACAAAACATGATAGGTAGAGAGAACTTAAGAATATAAATTGGATTTAAACTCCGTGAGATAGGACTTTTAAACATCCTGTGACAGCAGTATTATAAACATCGGAGTAGAGCATTTGAACCTCTGTGAATATGAGTTACCGGCGAAATTAAACTTAAAAGGATGCGAGTTCTGAACAGACAGAGGCGATAGGTTGAACACATTTTTTTAAGTCAGAGTTGGAGCAACGTAAACAGTCACCGATGAGCAAGGGTTCCGAAAATTTTTCCAGGACGGCAGGTGTGGGGTAGAGGTACTTAAGGGCAACAAGGGACGGCAGGTGTGGGGTAGAGGTACTTAAGGGCAACAAGGACGGCAGGTGTGGGGTAGAGGTACTTACGGACAACAAGCAGCTCCCCCACCCCTGAATCAGTATGGAAAGACGGCGACTCGGCTGACACTTCACACTTGTACTTCCCTGACGTCTTGAGCGATACTTCTTTCAACGTTACTTTCCTGTCGCTGCTCTTGCCCGTCTGTGAGGGAGAGAAAAATGTCTTTTGTTTACCTGAACTATACGTGTTTTACTGTATAAATAAGAACGTTAGAGGACTATGTGTGGGGCAACCATAACACTGGGAGGAAAATGTCCAACAGAGATGTGAATGTTTGCTCTGGTTGTATGTCTTTCCGATAAAGATTTTTTTATTGTGGGAAAAAAAGTCAAGCATTGAGTTCATCAGTGGATATTAAAATTGAGTTTGGTTCGAGTCTCTCACTCTTATATCCATATAAATCAGCAACAACTGATACAATATTAAGACTGGATACCAAGAACAACAAAGAAGATCACGTTTAACATGTTCCGAGCGATAATGACTGATACAAGTTTCTTGATGACTGTATAAGTTCAGTCACTTTGTCAGAGGGTAATTGGCGCCAAGGTTGGAGACACATTTATCTTTGTGAGGCCAGATTAGATGATTGCATAAAGGGTTCCATACTGAAGACAGATTGCAACGCTTGATTTTAAACCCTTGAGTACAATACCAACCCCCTAACTACAATGAATTAGTCCCATAAGTGAGTCATCTTAACCCCTTGAGTACAGTCCAATGATAACCACTTGTTGTTTTCATGTTATTACTGTACTTCAACAACCAAGAACCTTTAAGTGCGTAACAAGGTTATTAATGCAGTATTTCATCAACAATTAAAAATTATGAGATAGAATAACCAACCTCTTAAGTAAAACCAAGTAGCCTATATATGGATTTTTGTCCGTTTTTATTTTGATTTTTTCTTTATTCAATTATTTTTCTGCTCCTTTTTTTTCACATATGGCGGGTTTTTTTTCTGAATGAATTTACGCGTTTATGTTAGATTCAGTTTTGGTTTCAGATGTTTTACTATATATTTTTTTCGGGATTTTTTTTTTTGGGGGGGGGGTCTGTTTCTGTAATTTATGTTTCACTGCTTTTTTATGAGTTGTGTTTGAGTTTCGGTGTTCTATTGTGTGTTTTTGTGTTTTATTGTTTTCTGTATGTCCCTTAGCACTTTTTTGTGTTTGTCTGTTTGTTTTTTCTAGCGGTTTTACGACTAGGGGGTGAATAACTGGGGACTAAGATACACACTTAACAAAGGGGAAATATGGGATAGTTATTAAATATAGGACTCACCGTATTACTGCATAACACATCACTCTTTCTCAATAAGGGAGGGGTGAATTAGGACTCTTATTAACGGCTTCTGTATTTATTGAATACTTTATATTAGGGTTTAACAGTTACAATTCAAAATAATAATCCTATGCTCCTAGCTGGGAACCACGTATCTCACAACAAATGGGAACTTAAGGATTTACCAGATAGAATACACCCAAATACCTGCCATGTCGCCACCACAGACGTCCCACACCTCCCGACACAAAACTCCAACACAGACTCCGCTACTACTTCAGCCCACAAGGGATGCCATATCTTTCAGGACGTCACATCTCGCTGCTCTCTCATTGGTCGAAGACAGGACAAAGGCCTTCATACTAATAATAATGATGATGATGATAATAATGAAGATGATGATAACGTTAATAATCATCGAGTCATTCAGAACACCAACAGGTCGCTGTAAACACCGACCATCCAAATTCGAATATTTTGTGGAGTTATTCGAAACACTGACTAAATCGTACCTAAAATCGGCCGATCATTCTATTTTCTACCTCCATCACGCACAGTGGTTTCCGGCCAGTGATTGCCATCTGACCATCGTAATTACAATGCTTGGCCACAGTTATACCAGAGCGAGCTATTCATAGGGGTTTGCACGATGAATATTCCTCGAAAATTAATCGGTAAAATATACACGCTACGGGTTGAATTAAAGTGATCAGGAAAAATAACAACTAAAAATGCAAATGAAAAGTACACTGCCGCTCTGTTCTAAGTAGATACACATGTTCAACTTAACTTCAGCTAGGAGATAACATTATAGAAACAAATTTTCCACTCTTGGTCCTCCTAACTCCCTCGTCACACTCCATTTCTTTCTGCACATTATCACCCACAGTGATTTACTTGCATATATATATATATATATATATATATATATATATATATATATATATATATATATATATATATATATATATATATATATATATATATATATATATATATATATGTGTGTGTGTGTATGTATATGTATATATACACGAGGGTCATTCAATTCTTGATGGGTCAAATGAATATAACTGCGTAAGTCATTATTTAAATAATTATTATTAGTAATCAAATACCTATTTTTCCTCAATCTCCCACTTCAGTTATGCACTTGTCCCATATTTCTACGAGTTTTCTTTTTCATGTGGCGAAAAATTCTTTCGGATGACTCCGTAAACCATTTCGGATTTTTCTTCATCTCTAAGTTATTCGAAAAATGTTTCAAAATATCATGAACGACGTTGTGTACTGTACCAACAATGGCATTTAAATCTGTCACAATTTGTTCAATTGTAATGCATCGGTTTCCTAAAATTTTCCGCTCAATGTTCTGGTGCAAAGTGGGTGTTGAAAACTTCGACAGGTAGTCCTGGCACGATCTTCGTCCACAATGCTTGTTCGACCATTCTTGAATTGGGCAACCCACTTGTAAATATTCGCGCGACTGATGCAATTGCTTCCATATTGAAGTGACATTCTGCCATGAATTTCGCTTGGCTTTATCCCTTCCGAATTAAATAAAAACGAAAAAACAAAAAACAATAACAGATCGTTGTTCTTCCACGTGCAAAATTTAGGCGAAGTGTTCATCGTTAATGAGACACTTACGCGAGACTAACCGAATGAACTGACGAAACAAACAAAATTTAATGAAGATGTTGCTTATGCATGTCTAAGGATGTAACATATTCACATCCAGCATAATGGCCACAGTGCCTGGGAGCTGAATTCAACGCCCTACACACACACACACACACACACAGGTGGTCTCGGCGTGGGAACAAATATGTCGTCACTGATCCCGGGATCCAATATCACTCAATTGGAAATATAACTTTAGTTTAATGGAAACCGGGAAGCGAAAATGTGAATATTAATTCCGGTGCACAGGTCATATTGGCCAGCTGAGGACGTGACACTTGCCTCGGAGATAACAGGTACGAGTGACGCTCAACCGATCACCCGAGAACTTTAAGAATTCGGTCCAGGGCAAAGTCGGTCGAGTTCGATCGGTATATTTTAAACAGAGACCTTAACTAGTCTTTTTTATTTGCTCCAGTCACCTTTATCACTCCCAAACTTAACTGACTTACTGAGAGCACTTTTCTAATCATCTTGGTCATTCCTCCACTTGCCCGCCCGTAGGTAGTTTGATTTCCGTTCGGTAGCTTCCCATAAATTCAATAGAATTATATAAATTTTGATTGCAAAGTGTATAACGTCATGCTCTGGCTTGGGATAGTTGCTACACCAAATAAATTTAAGGTTGAAATGATTTCCGACGGTCGAGGATGATGCCTCTCGTTTATTTGGTCCCAGAAGAGGTTACCTTATAAGCGGTCATGTATGTCCGACAGGAATTTAAGGCAGCCCCATGTCATATGCACTTAATTGAATCACCACGAGAGAGAGAGACTATCTATCCATCCATGGTTTGACTGTTTTCGTCATCATATATTACACGTGGCTTTAAACTTACTTCATCTTTTTCATCATTCCAAAGTCCATTTACATCATATTCTTCTTTTATCAGCGACCTCTACTATACTCCTGATGTATCGCTACATACTTTTCAGTCACGTTCTCCCACCGAATTTCTGCGTTCCCCTTCATTTCTATTCTGCCTCTCTCATTTCACTACTTATACGTGTCCCTTCTATTGTCATTCAAATATCTTCGTTTCTGGTTTACCTGAAGATTAGACACCTGAGTGTATTTCGCCTGATGAGTAAACACCCTAACGCTAACCTAACCTGACATTAACCTCCCCCCCCCCCGGTGACGTTAGGGTATTTAACCATCAGGAGAACAAAGCTCCTGATATCCACCACAACATCCTCATCTTAGTTTCCCAAACATTTCCTCTTCCTACCTCTTGATAACCCATATCTCCTGTCCATACATCATCACTGAACTTATCATTGTCTTCTATAACTTCAAATTCATTTTCCTTGGCATTTTTCTCTTAAACAAAACACTATCAACTTCCCTCTATTGTGCCTATCCTTATTATATTCCCCATATCCTCTTCAAATCGTTCCTCGGCCAAGTATTTATCCCTGTCCACTTGCCCCATGCGCTTTTCATTTTTCCTGTCTGGCCACAATCTAGTCCTCACCCACTCCTTGTCTAGCTTCACACCAAAACCTGTCTTCACATCATTTCTTCTCAACGCCTGGCTCTCACGACTCTCTGGCCACTGCAACACTCGTCTCTCCTCCTCCTCCTCCTTCTGCCTCTGTTTCTGCAAAGTTGGCAAGATTCTCTAAGTGACCACATATCACGCGTGACAAGGCTATCTATATGGCCACTTATCACTCCTTTATCCAGACTATCAGAGTGGTCAATTATATCCATACCTCTCTCACCACACTCATTTTTATTATGATCTCGCTCATCTCTCCCAACCACACTCTCACTCAGCCATTCTTACTACTTTGTCACCCAACTCTCTCCACCACATTCCTAAATCTATCCTCCCCACTCTCACCACGTCCTTCCCACCACACTCTCACCCAACCATCCTTTCACCCACCCTCTCCCACCCAACCCCCAGCCCCTCCTCCCCACATCCACACACTCTCGCCATTCCCCTAAGCACAATTGACAAAACATATAAACAGTTAATGTGTCAGCCAAGTGTCAGCCAAGTGTCAGCTCCGAGCACGACAATAAGCACACCTCGCAATATACTGTAATTTACCGTCCTATTATACCAGCTCTGGATTTTTTAGGGCCGAGGGAGGTAAAATAGTGCGGCCCTAAATACTGACTCTCTCGCCAGTAATAATATTCAAATGTGGGAGAGTGGTGGG